TCAACTTTATAGTGTGCCTCTACACATGTACTATTCTGTTCTGTTTTTGTTTTTTTTAAGCTTTGAATGCTAATTGATAGGGGTCAGGAAGGAGAGTTACTGTTCATCATCTAAAAGGGAAGGATATATTTTATGTTACAGCTAGGCACCTGTGTGGAAGTACTGCCAAAGGGGAGTTTGTAATGTATCCCAATGAGGTCAGAATTAGAGGATTCTTCCAGTATATTCCTGATGAGGTATTCAATACCAGATTTAAGTGGTACTTAATGTTTCCCCACTGCATGCTGTCAGTAGACTTGAAACAAAATCGACCCGGAGTGTGGCTTTGAACTTGGTAAGCCAGGGGAGCTTAGAAGAACTTTACTGATGAGCTTGCAGAAGATAGGTTTAGTTCATAAAGATATAATTAAAAACATGGCAGCATGAAACTTGATGAAGCCCGTCTTTTAAATAATTCAGGAGATGAAACATTACTTTTCCTTCTACCCCTTGATGGTATGTTTTTATAGATATCAAGGCCATTTTATTTAAAACTTATTACTGTACTGGAAAAGAAAATTTATTCGTATGCTGTTGTAATTTTGTTTTGCAAAACTGTACAGGAAGAATGTACAGAATGAGTTACCAAGAAAGTTAAAATGTCTAAAAAGTAATTTGCTTTGGAATGTTTTGTAATAACCATTTGAAAATTCAGAAAAGTCATTTATTTGATGGGCAATGTTGGGTAAGAGCACTTCATGTTTTGTTCCTTATCAGTCCAACTTCAGGGGCTGGAGGAGAGGGAGAGGTTCTGGTTTTGCTGTCTTGCTACTCAGCTGACCTGACTTTTGGGGTTTGACTCTAGCCTGGCCACGTGGTGATTAGGGCTGAGGACACTTTATCATTGGCCCAATTACAGTTAATCATTAGATTTCTGAGTAGACAATTGGTAAGGGGCAAAAAAGGGGGTCCCTTTCTATAGCCTTACTGATCTGATACGATATCAGCTTAATGCTGTTGGTTTTGCCCAACAGGAGGATCCCTGGACCAAGAATGCAGCCAGCGTGAAAGAAAGCAGAATCTCGTGGTAGAGATGGAATCTTAGCTTTCTTGATGACTTGACAATAGCTCTGCCTGGAACATGTTCCTTAGAACCTTTTAGTAACATAATTAAAACAAATCTATTTGTTGACTAAGCCAGGATGGGTTTTGTTACTTGAAACAAAACTAATCCTAACTCCCAAAGTGAGCCATTTCACTTTCTGTCCTTCTAGCTCCAATTTCAATATAACATTCAACGCACTCTCCCTAGTATAGTATTAGTACGGCTCTGCCCACCACTTCTGTATTCTGCCCAGGCCATTCTCATTTGACAAAGGCCCTTACAGATTACACACCTCATTTAGCTGTAGTCATGAGTATCTTGCTATCTGATCTTCTGTCCATGGCAGGGTCATCCTTCAACGGATCCCTGGAAAAATTCACCTCCTTTTGAACGCCTTCTCTGTGACTCTTCTTATTTTGCTTCTCTAAGTGTTTTACACTGATCATAGAACATAATTGGCACTTCATTATCTGTTGTCATTCTGTAAGTCAATGTTTATTATTATTATTCATTTTGTAGCTAATGCTCCACTTCCACTGAAGAGGTACATAGGAGCTGTGGTCATATTTGGGTTTCAGCTCATCGCATTCACAAGACTGTCTCCTCTTATATTAATATTATATTTGAAAGTCATGCATAAATGCCACTTGAATAAAAAGATGAGAGGTTTGCTGGTAACATATAAGTAAAAAATCCGTAGTTCCAATTTCTTTACATTAGTATACTTACCTTTTCAATTCAATTGTGTAGTTCTTTTGTACATAGTTTCTGTATTCTAATGTCTTTATGACCTAAGCTCTGCTAGGTCCTCCCTAGTAGACCTTAGCCACATATCAGGTACTCAGTGCTAATTTTCCTTTCCTCTTCTTATTGTCCCCTATTAACATTCTTTCAAGATGAAAGTTAAAGTCCTTAAAATGGCCCGCAAAGCTCAGTCTTCCTGTTATTACTTTTCTGCCTTCATGTCCTACCATTCTCTCTCTGTCCATCCACTTAGCTGCTCTGACCCTCTTGTTGTGGTGGAAATGTACCAGCTGTGCTCCTGCCTCAGGGCCTTTGCACATTCTATTGCCTCAGCCTGATGTACTCTATATGTGACTCTGTCCTCCACCTTTTCAAATCTGTGCTTTAATGTCACTTTATGTCCTACTTAAAATGTCATGTTATATCCCTGTCTACAAGCTCTCCTCATCTCCCTTATCCTGCTGTTTTTCTCTGTAGCACTTTTCACATTTTTCAGATCATGTGATTTAGTTATTCATTATATTTAGTGCCCCACTACAATATAGAGAATAGGGGCTCTGTTTCTCCTCTCTCTCTCTCTCTCTCTCTCTCTCTGCCCCCCCCCCCCCCGCCGCCTCGTTGCTGTACTGCCATTCTTACAAAAGTGCCTGGCATATTTGAGACACTCAATAACTTTCTAACAAATAAACTGTAAAATTCTAACAAATAAAATTTAATTTTTTTTTAACATTTATATACTTATTCCACTCACCTGTCAAACTAAACTGGCTCTCTCCTAGTCTCCTGTATCCTAAGTGACTGGCTCCCACACCACCCACAAAAACTCATACCTCTTGTCTGCAGAATTCTCCCACCCATCTTCACTTAATTGTTTTAAAACTTTGTAACCTACCACTATCTGTAGGTATTCTGTTTCCTCTCAGTTCCCATGATATTTATGATTTGTACTGCTCCTTTGAAGATATGTGTAGCCTTGTTTTTTATATAAATTTCATGTGTTATCTTTTTCCTCCTCAATGTTTTATGTTTCATTCTTGAACATCAGAAAAAAAAACAATTTGTACGACCAGACCTTCATAATTATATTCTGGTCATTTAATAATTAGGAAGATAATTAGTAAGTGTATGATGCAAGACAATACTGTGCTAAGATTTGGGAAATACAAGCTCCCTGCTCCCTGTCCTTAGTGAGTTTATTGACTCGTGTTGAAGAAAGTCAGAAAAACAGGTAACTACAAAGTATGATAGAAGAGTAGGGAAAAGAAATGGAGCAAGGTGAGAAGGATTGCGCCATGACTGGAAGAATTCTTAAGGAAGGGATGCATCAATAATGTCTTCTGGGGAGAGAAATGACTTAAGAATTAAGAGTGAAGAGAATGCGAAAAGTGTAGCAGGCAGAAGAACCAACTCAAAGTTTGACCAACTCTAATTCTTTACAAAGAAAGAAACAGCGTAGTTTTATGTGTGTGTGTGAGATGACAAGCAATGGTAAATGGGAGAGTGAGAGAAGGGACAGCGAGTTAGGAAAGCAAACAATGTCTTCTCTGTTTACTTTCTGGCATACGCGCGCACACACACATGTATAAATGCATATATTTTATTTCTGGGTTTTTTGGGGATTAAACTGACTTATTTCTAGAATCTACCAAGTAAAATTTGGAGTGGCAAAATAATTTTAGGAAAAATGACAGCACACATCATTAACACTAAGTGTCAGACTTCAGAAATTAAAGATTTCACAAACTCTAGTATGACTGTATTAATCTCCTAGTACCAAAACTGTGATTCTTTAGATTATTTGACACCAAATTCAACTTCAGCTACTTTCGAACCTTTTTTTCTTTAAATTTGGAATGTAATCTCCCATAAGCACTTGCTCCATTATCCTTTGGGAAGAGCATACACTTGCTCCATGTCAGCCTCCAAGTTCAATCAGTCACCCTCAGGAATCATCTTTGATGAATCTTTCCAGCATCAGTGATTACAATGGTATTCTTTCTGTTTGGGGATTTTTAAATAACAGGGCAATCAGGACATGTTCCTTTTCATCTTTGCCTCCCATAATTTTCTTTACTAGAGACCTTATCAAAAATGCTTGATTTTTCCCCCCTAATTATAACTCTTCAAAGGAGAGAAAATGAAACTTGGAGCCCAGGTTTCCTAGCAAATGCTTCTAGGACCACAGCTGCTCCATCCAGCTTTTGAAGTTCCCTCTGCTCACCTCTTGAAGCTGCAACCCTCTTAATAGCAGCATTAGCTGTTTCAGCTCAATTTTTCTGACAGTCTTAGTGGAGAGAGTGAGGGAAAGCCTTTCATGTAGGACTTTGTTGCCCTGATATGATGCTTGAAAGATAAAAATAATTCTGATTTATCTAATCCCGGCACATACTTATACCTGTAATGTCTTTGCTTAGTAAGCAGGAGTGGCTTTCACTGGGTCTTTCTTTATTTCCCATTTATAATGGAGATTAGAACCCTATACAACCAATTTAAAAACAATGACTCAAGGATGCACCAATTCATTTTAATGCAGACATAAGATCCAAATTAAACTCCAAACACTCCAATTAAGAAACTCTATTTCTGGTCGGAAATGACTAGTGAATAAGAAAAAAGTTATTAAAATCATTTCTTCTCATGGCTAGATAGGAAAAACTAAAAGATAGGATGTTACCATTTAAAATAAGAAAAACAACGTGCTCTAAAATCAATCCTGTCCTTTAGTGGAAGGTGATTTTAACATTTGTAAGTTTAGTTGTGTAAATGCAGGCAAACCATACATGAAGTCATTTTTCTCCAACACCTGACAATGCCACTGCTCTGGATACTTACTTTGCTTTCCAGAAAGGGCAGAAGAGGGTCAGAAGCAAGTTCTGCCTCTTGTTGAAAAAGAAGGTGTTAAAGTTGTTGATAGTATTTTCATTCATCAGTTTTGATGTGGAGGTTGAGAAAGAACCACATGTAAGCACCTGTCTTGGCATATACTGAACACCGACTTATTTCATGGAGCTGTTAAACCCATTTAACTCTTCACAAGCATTTTTTATTTTTTTTGGAACTTATATGAAAGTATATTTGAATATACCTTGATTCTGGGGGAAGAGGGAACAGAAAACCTGTGTAAATTTGAGGAGGGATAAAAACTGTTGTGTTTGTCTTTTTTGTTGTGTAGGAGAAAAACAACGATGGCCCATAGATGATCTGAAGACAGAATGAATTGGAACACTTGTGCTTTGAAGAAAAGTGAAGTTTTTGTACAGTTAAGGTAACTGGACACATCTTTTTTTTATTGCATTTTAAGTTTTGGGGTACATGTGAAGTACATGCAAGATTGTTGCATAGGTACACACAGGGCAATGTGATTTGCTGCCTTCCTCCTCATCACCTATATCTGGCATTTCTCCCCATGCTCTCTCTCCCCAACTCCCCACCCCCTGCTGTCCCTCCCCTAATTCTCCCCAACAGACCCCAGTGTGTGATGCTCCCCTCCCTGTGTCCATGTGTTCTCATCATTCAACACCCGCCTATGAGTGAGAACATGTGGTGTTTGATTTTCTGTTCTTGTGTCAGTTTGCTAAGAATGATGGTTTCCAGGTTCATCCATGTCCCTACAAAGGACACAAACTCATTGTTTTTGATAGCTGCATAATATTCCATGGTGTATATGTGCCACATTTTCCCTGTCCAGTCTATCATTGTTGGGCATTTGGGTTGGTTCCAGGTCTTTGCTATTGCAAACTGTGCTGCAATGAAGATTCGTTTGCATGTGTCCTTATAATAGAATGATATATAATCCTTTGGATATATACTGAGGAATGGGATTGCTGGGTCAAATGAAATTTCTATTTCTAGGTCCTTAAGGAAATGCCACACTGTCTTCCACAATGGTTGAACTAATTTACACTCCCAATAGTGTAAAAGTGTTCCTATTTCTCCACATCCTCTCCAGCATCTGTTGTCTCCAGATTTTTTTAATGATCGCCATTCTAACTGGTGTGAGCTGGTATCTCAATGTAGTTTTGATTTGCATTTCTCTAATGACCAGTGATGATGAGCATTTTTTCATATGTTTGTTGGCCTCATGTATGTCTTCTTTTGTAAAGTGTCTGTTCATATCCTTCACCCACTTTTGAATGGACTTGTTTGTTTTTTTTCTTGTAAATCTATTTTAGTTCTTTGTAGACTCTGGATATCAGCCCTTTGTCAGATGGGTGGACTGCAAAAATTTTTTCCCATTCTGTTGGTTTTTGACACACTCTAATGACTGTTTCTTTTGCTGTGCCAAAGCACAGCAAAAGACCTAATCTTTTGATTAGGTCCCAGTTGTCTATTTTGGCTTTTGTTGCCAATGCTTTTGGTGTTTTGGTCATGAAGTCCTTGCTTACGCCTATGTCCTGAGCGGTTTTGCCTAGATTTTCTTCTAGGGTTTTTATAGTGTTAGGTCTTATGTTTAAGTCTTTAATCCATCTGGTGTTAATTTTAGTGTAAGGTGTCCGGAAGGGGTCCAGTTTCTGCTTTCTGCACATGGCTAGCCAGTTTTCTCAACACCATGTATTAAATTGGGACTCCTTTCCCCATTGCTTATTTTGGTCAGGTTTGTCAAAGATCAGATGGTTGTAGGTGTGTGGTGTTGCCTCCGAGGCCTCCGTTCTGTTCCACTGGTCTATATCTCTGTTTTGGTACCAGTACCATGCTGTTTTGATTACTGTAGCCTTGTAGTATAGTTTGTAGTCCAGTAGTGTGATGCCTCCTGCTTTGTTCTTTTTGCTTAGAATTGACTTGGCTATGCAGGCTCTCTTTTGGTTCCATACAAAGTTTAAGATGGTTTTTTCCAGTTCTGTGAAGAAGGTCATTGATAGCTTAATGGGGATAGCATTGAATCTGTAAATTACTTTGGGCAGTATGGTTATTTTTAACAGTCCTAGTTTTCTGTAAATCATTTCTGGTGCAAGTATCTTTTCAAAGTATGTTTTTCAATCATATTCAGTACTTGTTCTTTGAGAGTTAATTGATATGCATATTTTCAGAGTTGTGTTACTGTTTGAATAGAGTAGCTGGAGTTTCACAGCAAGGTGCTATAATATAGACAGAAAACAAAATGGGTTGGTAACTAGTACATGATGATCTGGTCTCTTATTGGAGTCCTTCTCTTGGTGTTATTTGACAGCATATATCCTAGAAACCTTAGTATGGGACTACAATGGGCAAGATTCCATCCTTTGGTAGATAGATTTATTTCTGAAGGTTGTGAGAAAATTCAGTGTTAATCTATTGGGATTTGATGCATAGATAATTAGGTTTAAGGAAACTGTTTCATCCTGTTTCTGCAAATTGGGTATTCGGGGCTGTTTTCTAAGGCACTGAGATTCTGGAAGCTCTCCTGCTGGTGGTGAATGTCTAGCTTTGCCTCATATGACAGCTGGAATTGCTCTGGTATTCCAGTAGAATAGTTTTATCTCCCATCTTTTGATGGCCTTGTTCTACTCTGGAAATAAGTTTGGAGAACAGGGTTCTCTTACACCATCATAACTGCATACCTCTACCTGCATACCACACTAGTGACTGCAGCAGAAAAATGTGGCGAGCTCTGACCAGTAGAGCAATGTCTTGGGAATCTCACCGGTTGCTACGGCTTATAGCATGGTAAGATCCCGGGCAAAGGGGTTCTGGGGAGCTTGTACCTGACAGTCCTCTAGGGGACTCAGAAACCACTGGGAGACATTTGAAGAGAGAGTTGTCAAACATGGAAATTCCTGAGTAAACATTGCAGAGCAAAATCAATTCCCCAAATCTCTCTGTCTGAATACCACAAAAATAATAAAGTAAATAAGAAAAAAGTTGGCCAGCAAAAACTAAGTAAGAAAAAGATTTATCCCTCCCTGTCATATGCTTCTAAAAGCTACAACCTAGAGAAATTTTAAATAAAATTACTAAAGTTCTTAATTATATCCCCCTTCCTAAGATGTGGCACTGGAGATCAGTGAGTCATCAAAATTCCGAGAGCTCTTACTCATTTCCCACAATCTTGGGACCATCAAATTAAGGATGTTCAATTGAATCTAGAGAAAAGCAAGGAATGATTCCAATAACGGTGGAAGACTCACCTGCTTCCAAGGAATGTTGATGGAAGCTGAAGAAATTCACTGTGTTCCTAGAATCCGTTGTGAATTAGGGCACTGAACTGAATTCTTCAGGCATTCCTTCCATTAAACATGTAACAACCGCAACAGGGTGGAGAATACCTTGATAGAAAGACATTAAACCATCTCTTGTATACCAGGGACAGTCAAAATTTGCACTGTGGGCTGACTGCTGATCTTGTGAATAAAGTTTGGTTAGAACACAGCTATTCCCATTTGTTTATGTATGGTCTATGGCTACTTTTATGCTAAAACACCAGAGTTGAGTAGTTGCAATAGAGACCACAATGGCACAGAAAAGTTCACACATTTACTATGTATCTCTTTATGGAAAATGTTTGCCTATTCTTGTCATAGAAGAAAGTGGGAAGTGTAGGTTTGCCAACAAAGAAAACTACACTCAGATAAGATGAATAGTGGAAAAGACATTTTACTAATGGCTTTACAGACTATGCAGAAAGGCTAAATAGAGATATCTACATTAAGTACATTAAGTTAAGAATAAGAAGGAGAAAAATGGTATGGTGTTTGTGTCAGCAAGTCTCACACACATGCACACATGCACGCACATACATAACATGAGTGCACACGAAGGAAAGAATCACTAAATCCAGTTTGTGATAAAACATAAGGAAAAATAGAAATAGTGCTTTATATCATGAAAATTACTAATTAGAGTATAACTTAAGGAAACATTTCAAAGACAAGATGATAAACCAGTGTGAATTGATGAACATAAATATAGAGCTAAGTAAATAATTGTATATTTATAAAGCAATACACAACAAAGCAACCCTCATCTTTATCTGACTACTAAACAAATTAGAAAGAACTGGAAACAAAAGAGATAGGGCTAAAAAGTCAAATTGGGGAAATGGGCAAAAGCCTTGAGCATAAGAATAAATTCAGAAAAAAAGGGAAAGGATTTAAAAACTAATGAAAAGCAGGAAATAGACAAATATGTCCTAACATTGATACTTGCCGTTCCACAGTAGATACCATAAAGCGGGGTAGATCCATTTTCTTGAATAAAAAGAAATAATATTCAAATGGAATGAATACACCATGTTCCAAGAAAATTTAGCACAGAGAAAAAGGGGTCTTTTTAAAGTTGTTAGACTTTTAGAATAAAGAAGCCTATGAGTATTCATGAAGAAAAGCAAGCCATTTATAATGGGGGAAACAAAATCAGGCTGGTGTTCACCATGACAACTTTCAGTGGCAGAAGATAATGAGACAATAACGATGCAGTGTAACTCAAGAATATAATAGCTGTTCTTCGCATTTGAAGGCAACAGATAAATAGGCAAACTCAGAGATCCACCAAGCCTTCTGGGACCTTACTGCCCCAGTGCAAACTCTAACATAACTTCCTGGAGCTCAGTCATTCGAAGGAGGAAGGAAGGAGCCCTAGTAAAAAGATGAATGCGGCATTAAATGTCAGAAGACAGCATGGTGGTATGTGCAGTGCGCTGAGGAACAAGGCAACACAGGCATATCTTATACACAGGTTATCTTACTAGCTGAAAGACAGCACACATTCTCAAACATGCCACAATGTCTGAAATGGACTGCAAGGAGCTTAGAAAATATCCAGTGAATTAGTATGCCTAAAGAAACTAAAGATCAGGCACAAAGCAAATTCGTGTAGAATGCTTTCAGCCAAGTGTCAGGTGGAGTAACGGTGATGAGTGCTCCACTCTTGAACTTTCTGACTCTCTAGGTGCCATACTGACAGCTTTGTCTCCCACAATTTTAGCTTCTGTTCTCTGTGTGGAGCCCCAAAGCCAATACTGTAACTTTGGGGGTTCTGTTTCAATAAAGGCATTTTGAGCTCACTGTGAAGGAGGAAACCAAAAGGATTAGACACTGAACTTTTAAAGAGTCTCAAATGTATTTTTCTGAATGGGGCATTTCCAGGATTCTTTGGGTCTAGTAAAGATTAGAAAGTTCAACCATGCCGCATACGAATGATGGCTTGCAATGCTTAAGCAGGAGACTCATTAATGACCTTGGTTTACAACAAGCTTTTGGAGCCAGAAACTACTGGCCGTCCTTAATGTTCCTACACAAACTGTGTCTGTTCAAGTACTTCTGATATTATAGGGGAAGCTTAGCATGCAAC